CAGCACCCATACACCCTGACAGGGTCCTCATGGGATCAGCATTTAACTCACATGTCTGCTGCAGGAAAACCAGGAATAACCAGCTTACTAACGCCATTTTACAGAGAAAGAAGGGAACATCTCCCTGTATTTCAAAGTCCACAAAGATACAATGTTACTTTCACTTTCACAAGAAATCTGGAATACAGGGATTTTCTATGGGATATGGATTGCAACTCTCATCATCTCTTGCCACCCCAGACAATTTATTAATCCTGGACTTGAAGTAATCTGTTTGGGGGGCATGTTATTTTAACCATACCCTGCCTGTCCCGAAAATAATCATTAACCTGTTATATGCTTATATTATATTATCACTGTTAACCGGTTAAGAGCTGCCAGTTAAGCACGTTATTCTGTAAGGGATTCAATGCTTTTCATACCTAGATATAATGGGTATATGCCCCGGCTGGGGGGTTTGTATGATAAGGCAGTGAAGAGGGTTAGTAAATATTGTAGTTATACCCCATGCTGTGCAGGGAATAAACCTGAATGAACTCATTCAGTTTTCCATATAAATATGTTATACATGTCCAAAAACTATTATTACGGCATCTAACCATGATTTATAATGTATTGTGCACAGAATGGGGTTTGTAGGTATAGTAAATATGTCTGAACAGGTTTGAGATGGGTTAAAATCCTCTAAACATTAATTGTTTCACATGTGCCCATATTGAATGGAAAAGGTTAATAAGTCACTTGGGTGAATATGCTGTAAAATGTTCCCTGCCTGGCTTCTCAGCTGGAAGAGTTAATATTCATTCCATTTCTTTTTCCAAACATTTTTGGGAGTAAATTTTATTTTTTTGTTTGACATTCTTCTTCCTTTTTTTTTTTTAAATTCTTTATTTTTGTTGTGCATAAAGATATAACAACGCGTATGTGGTGCCCCAACAGCATTCCACAAATTTTTCAGTAACAAAATGTGCACAATTTTATATTAACATGAGAGGTCATTTCTATTACTAATAGCTTATGTGTGAGTTTAATATGTGAGACAGTAGAGCATAGTGTTTAGTTGATTAGTGTTCCCCTGAGATACGTATAAGATTAGAACTGTGCATGTTTTCAGTAATATGGGAATTAACAGGATAAACAAACCAAGCATGTGATGTAGAATAAAGTGGTATAAGCTTTGCAGCGTAGAGCGAAATAGGTAGACGTTGCATGCTGCTTGTAAAAGGCTGGGTGGTTATTTTAACTATGCAGGATAAGATTAAGAATCACCCCTTAGGCCCCTGTGGCCACACATGAGTAGGCTCAGTAAGCTTGGCTAATCCTGGTGGAGAAACTTACAGTTGCGCTACATACATACATACATACATACATATTAAGCTTTTTAAAATCAGTGGGGCGCTTTATCAGAGTGTCCACATTAGTCCCTGATTGGCAGATGTCCCCTGTGGGCTTTACTCCCCGCAGCCCGGCTGTATATCTTGGTTCCTGCAGCTTTGGGAGGCTGGTTTGTGTGGTGTCTCTTGGCTGTGTCTCCATCTCCTCTGCCAGTGTCTTATGGTTAATGTCATAAGGTGAGCGTCATGCTGGGGCACTGGAATTCATGTGCTAGGCTGGTTGTTGCAGGTGTTAAGTCTGGCGATGTCTGTGAGCCGCGCAGGTTACAAGTGGTGCGGGGAGACAGGTTGCAGTCCCTCTTCATCACACACGTGGCCTCCGCCATCTTTAATGGAGGCTGCGGGTTGAGGTGGTAATGTCGCTTGTGTCCTGGGTGCTTTATAGCGGTCGGGGCCCTGGGGTGGGGGCCTGGGGAGGGCCAGTTCCTCTCGGGCCTAGGTCCTGGGGTGGGCACCGTTAGGCGGGATAGCGGGGCAGCGGCCGTCTGTCCCACTCACCGCCGGAGTAGGCCTCTGCCGGGATAAAGAATGCCTCTCCTCCAAGGGACTGCAGCTCAAGGAGCCAGCCTCTCCTCGGACCCAGTGTATCCCTTTATTTGTATTACTTTAAAAAGAACACTCCAAGCACCATAACCACTACAGCACACTGTTGCGCACCCGCCCTCACTGCCTCTACTACAGCTTAGTAGACTTGGGACTCTTTAGACACAGATCTCTACCGTTTGTGCAGGGGGCAGGAGGTTAATAGTATTTTTTAAAATTATTTTGAATTTTATTTTCAGCAGCTGCGTATTCAAACATGCTGTATTACAATAAGAAAGGTCAGGAGTATAATTCTCCATCAGCCTATATTAGGGGAGAGCATGGCGCCCCCAAACTGACAATCAGAAGGGAGTGATGGGGAAAATAATATTACTGCACAATCCTCTATTAATTAGATTGTGTGGTGGGATCACATTGAATACCTGGCTGTGCAGAATGAGCTTGTTTCCAGCAATGATTTGATCGAAATCCCAGATAGTGTCAGCAGCACGTTGTTCTTTAATAGAGAGCTGTCTTTATACCCAATAGCTTCAGTCTCATATTCCAGTCTTCTATAAAGTATATTGTTAATACTTTGGCTGGGCCTGCAATTCTTGTTTAATAATACAAAATTCTTATTCAATAAAGGTAATAGGGAGTAGTCGGGCAACTATAGGCCAGTAAGCCTTACTTCAGTAGTGGGGAAAGTGATGGAAACCATGTTAAAGGATAGGATTGATGAACATCTAAAAACACATGGATTTCAAGATCAGAGACAACATGGGTTTACTTCAGGGAGATCATGCCAAACTAATCTTATTGATTTTTTGATTGGGTAACTAAAATTATAGATCAGGGTGGTGCAGTAGACATTGATTTCAGTAAGGCTTTTGACACTGTTGCACATAGAAGGCTTATCAATAAACTGCAATCTTTAAGTTTGGATTCCAATATTGTTGAATGGGTAAGGCAGTGGCTGAGTGACAGGCAACAGAGGGTTGTAGTTAATGGAATATATTCGAAGCTTGGACTTGTCACCAGTGGGGTACCTCAGGGATCTGTACTTGGACCCATTCTCTTTTAATATTTTTATTAGTGATATTGCAGAAGGTCTTGATGGTAAGGTATGTCTTTTGCTGATGATACTAAGATATGTAACAGGGTTGATGTTCCAGGAGGGATAAGCCAAATGACAAATGATTTAGGTAAACTAGAAAAATGGTCAGAATTGTGGCAACTGACATTTAATGTGGATAAGTGCAAGATAATGCATCTTGGATATAAAAACCCAAGGGCAGAGTACAGAATATTTGATAGAGTCCTAACCTCAACATATGAGGAAAGGGATTTAGCGGTGATTATTTCTGATGACTTAAAGGTAGGCAGACAATGTAATAGAGCAGCAGGAAATGCTAGCAGAATGCTTGGTTGTATAGGGAGAGGTATTAGCAGTAGAAGGAGGGAAGTGCTCATGCCATTGTACAGAGCACTGGTGAGACCTCACTTGGAGTATTGTACACAGTACTGGAGACCGTATCTTCAGAAGGATATTGATACCTTAGAGAGGGTTCAGAAAAGGGCTACTAAACTGGTTCATGGATTGCGGGATAAAACTTACCAGGAAAGGCTAAAGGATCTTAACATGTATAGCTTGGAGGAAAGACGAGACAGGGGGGATATGATAGAAACATTTAAATATATAAAGGGAATCAACACAGTAAGGGAGGAGACTATATTTAAAAGAAGAAAAACTACCACAACAAGAGGACATAGTCTTAAATTAGAGGGACAAAGGTTTAAAAATAATATCAGGAAGTATTACTTTACTGAGAGGGTAGTGGATACATGGAATAACCTTCCAGCTGAAGTGGTAGAGGTTAACACAGTAAAGGAGTTTAAGCATGCGTGGGATAGGCATAAGGCTATCCTAATTATAAGATAAGGCTAGGGACTAATGGAAGTATTTAGAAAATTGGGCAGACTAGATGGGCCGAATGGTTCTTATCTGCCATCAGATTCTATGTTTCTATGTTTCTATAAAAAATAAAACGAACTAACCACAATAAACAGGGCCAGATTAAGAGCCCATTGGACCTGGTGCTGACAAAAAAGATGGGCCTAATTACAAAATCTTATCGACAGAAAACACTAAACCAGTTACACCTCCCAAGCGTCATGTACCTGGTGAAGGTGGTGCTGAAGGGAAACTCACAGGATATAACTATCAGAAAACACATACCCTATTCTAATCTCTCGCTTTTATCTTTCAAGTAAATGCATACCCTCTAAAAGCAGGTCCAGTGAAGAAGAATGTTGGTGGGCGAGGTTAAAGGGTGAGCCACTGATGCGAATCCCGTAACCAGAACCGCCAAAAGGGGTGAACATGCTCAAAAAGGGGCTTGTCTGCCCAAAGAATTTGAAGATCAGCCTGATGTAAATGTATGACAGGCTGCTTGACAATCATGCATGCTGGCCAACAAAGGGCATACCATGCAGAACGCACCTTGAGCTTGGCATAAATGTGTCTAATAATTTTTTTTTTTTTTTTACAATGGGCCTATTCCATGGGCATGGGCATGGGCCTGGAACTGCAGCTCCATCAGCCCCTATGTTAATCCAGCCCTGACAATAAGGAAAACAAAACCTTATTTAAATAGAGTAACTCCTAAAACATAACCTTTATTAAGAATCCAATAAAAAGCATCCAAAATGATGTCTATAATACGGTACTTTAAAAATTATATATGGCACTTTGTTCCTGATGACATTCAAGAAGGGAGTGTGGTCCTTAACTATACATTGCGACTACATAGAGTTTAACACAGACTCCACTTTTGTGAGTATTAACTTGTGAAACATTTCTGATTCCGTGTACATTGTGTTACTACTCTATGTCCTTGTTCTCTCTGAGATTCATCGAGGACCAGTTACGAGACTGTACCAGATAGAGGGGAAATTAAGATTTATTTATTTTTTTTATTATTACTATTTATAGTTTTTATTATTTTCATACAGAAATAAACATTCTTCTTACAAACTTACATAGAACGTAATGTTTAGAATTCAATCAAGATCATACAAAGGGTCATTGCATAGTATATACATACAAATACATCAACTTTCATGCCAAATGGAGAGCAAGGGGAGATCTATAAGTTGGTCACATAATTCCAGAGTCACATTAGAGTCGTATACAAATTTTCCATCCTTAAGTCTTTAGGTGTGACCTGGACATTCTATCATTCAGGGAAAACCATAATCACCATATTCACTTTATAAGTTTTCTAGCCAAAAAGTGCTATAGTCTTTAGTTTTCAGATCTTTACCATATAGCTTGTCTAGTTGGGATTCCATTCCTAATTGGAATTTAACCTGAAATAGGAGTTTATCTAAAGAAAAGGGTAGTGCATTTTTCCAATTCCTAGCTATTATTATCTTTACTGCTATTATAAAGTGAATATAGATAGTCAAATCCTTCTGCGATAAGGAATCAATATTTAGATGTAAAATAGCATTTTCTGGAAATTTAGGAATAGGCTTAGAAATCAATTTTTCAAGAGTAACACAACTTTCCTGCCAAAAGTTTCTGACAATCTCACATTCCCACCAAATGTGTATAAAAGAGCCCAGCTGTTGTTTACATCTCCAACATAGCGGTGAAGTCGAGCTATACATATTGGCTAGTCTGGTAGGCACAAGGTACCATCTATTTATTACTTTATATAATGTTTCCAGTAAATTCAAACAATGGATATTTTTAGCTGTTCTGGATATAACTGCACACCAATTTTCCTTATTAATTTTTATTTTTAATTCTTTCTCCCATTTTTGCAAAGAAGTAATGACAGGAGGTGCATCCATTTTTAGAATAGCATTCATTGCTGAAGCAGATACTCTGTTTACTGTCTTGTTATTTAATATTAAACATATCAGCTTAGCCCCGACTTGTAAATTATGTTCAATCATTTGGTTTAAGAAGTTTTTTAATCTCAAATAAGTAAATAATTCCTTATTAGGTAACCGGAATTCTTGCTTCAGTTGTGGGAATGGTTTAATTTTATCATTTACAAACAACCGGTCAGTCTGGACGATACCACTAGAAATCCAACTCTTTAAGTTCAAGTCTTTAAATTTTTAAAAAATTTTTTTTTTTTAAAGTGTAGTTCTACATGACATTTTAACTGTCAATGTCATAATACTGTTTGCTTTTACTGCAATAAAATACACATATTTGTATTCAGCAAAGTCTCACGTGTAAAACAGTACCCCCCACAAACAGGTTTTATGGTGTTTGTGGAAGGTTACAGTGTCAAATATAGCACATTTCCATTTTTCCAGATTAGTAATGTTACCTTTGAGACCGTATGGTAGCCCAGGAATGAGAATTACCCCTATGATGACATACCATTTGCAAAAGTAGACAACCCAAGGTATTGCAAGTGGGGTATGTTCAGTCTTTTTTAGCAGCCACTTAGTCACAAACACTGGCTAAAGTTAGCGTTCATATTTTTTTTTTTCTGTGAAAAATTTCCCACCAGCAGGGGGACTAATTTGGCGTGAGAGGACTGCCTGGGCTGTCAGGCAGTCCTCCAAAAGTGTATCGCCAGGAAGGTGACTGTCCCCACCAGTATATGTTGATAAGGCATTGAGACTGTTTTCTCAAGCGCAGAGCTCCCTGTGCAACCTTTCCTTATGCTGAAGAGTACTATAATAGTATTTTAGTTGTAGCTAGTGAAGAGAAATTAAGAGGGTTTATGGTCTGTCCCCAAATAATGTGTCCAGTTCAAACAACTTCCTGTCGTTCAACGTCTGATAGATAGGAATAAAATAACCTCCCCCTAGGAATGACTAGGCCTTTGATGGCAACCCTCTGCCCAATTTACTGTTAAAGGGCACCAGTAGAAGAGGACTAGGTGTAGGCAAAATGTGTGTCGATTCACGAATCGCCATCCATGTACAAAGTGTATGCGACACTGGCACCATCTTGTCTTTTTTTTTCCAGGTTCTCCGAGCCACCTATCCATACAACTGACTCCAGGGAGGCTACCAATCCTTCCCTGTCCAGTGCTACCCATTGTTTGTGTGGGGAATACAAATGCCAATCTAGTATCCGCTACAAAACAGTGGCCTGATGGTATTTTTTAAAAAATCAGTAGGGCACAACTCCCCGTATGTCAGGGCAGGCAAAGATCATGGCACAACGGAGATCGTTCCCCCCTGCCAAACACAGTCGATCACCGCTGTCTTCAAAGAGGAGGAAAAGGTTGCTGGTAGGGCACATGGAATAGTCTGGAAGAGGTATAATACCCTCGGAAGTATATTAATTTTAACTACTGCTACCCGACCATCCCAGGAAACATGAAGGTAAGCCCATCTCTGTAAATCAGCTAGCAACGCTTTCAGCAGTGGAAGAAAGTTGCATTGATATAAATCTTGTGGATCCATGGTCACCCAAACACCAAGAAACAGTTCTTCATTTTGCCATAACACCAATAAAACGAAAACAAAGAGTCCAACGCCACATAATCCATAGTAGGAAACACAAAGTTTAACACCTCGCACTTTGACAGGTTTAGCTTGAAACCCGAGAGTGTAACCAAATATCTCGAATTCCGTTAAGATTCATGACAAAGTGATTCGTGAATTTAAAACGGAAAAAAAAGGTCATCGGCATAAGCAGCAACCTTTTATTCCACACCTTGCCAAATATAGCTCTGGACATCGGGGTTCTTGAGCAGCACCTGAAAGAGCAGTTCTAAGGACATAGCAAATAATAGTGAGGAAAGGGGGCAGCCCTGCCTTGTTCCATTGCTAATGCAAAAATCAGCCATCAGGGCCCCCTTGACCCGCACCAAACCGCGTGGTTTGCTATCTGAGACCATGATCTATGCGAGCAACCTTGCACCCAATCCCATGCTCCCTAGCATGCACAAAATATATGACCAATTGACTTGATAAAATGCCTGCTTGGCATTGGTCAACAGCAAGAGAATGCGTTTTTTCATTTTTCTAGCATGGTGTTGTATAGCGAAGAGTCTCAGTCTCATCAGATGAGCTGATTTAGTGAAACGTACGTCAGGGAGCACGGACTCTGCCACTTCCACCATATTTTCTTAAGTTTGTTACCTGGCACTTGAGAATTAATACTCCAACAACTGCAGGACGGCACTTGAATCTCAGATAATTAAGTTACTGAGGACTTGACCATTTTATTAAACTAGGGGTGGTTGCGGGAGAGACATTGCTTATACTGGACAGGGTTTTAGGGGTAAGGGGTGCCCATGAAGGCACAATAGGGAAAGTTATCTAGCTTCTTCTGTTTCCCTGTACTCTCCTTTTCCCCTATCCCTGGAGCTGTAGATACACGCTTAGGCAAGCTCCAAATCCCCTATTACAACAAACCCCTCTTCACCCCCCTATGTTGTCACTTCCTAATTTACGGTAATCTGATATCACTAAGCACCATACTTGTCTCCTCATTCAATAGCAGGTAATCATACCATAGCCTCTGTATAATATTTATAAGTTACAAAAAGGAAGACTCACTAATTATCCTTGTTGTTGATACAATTGTATCAATTATGGCAAGTGTGTTCACTTGCCACTTTATATTTAGTACTGTGTTACATTTACCAGACAAAATGTATGAGACAGATCAGGCTAACTGTACTAAGGGTTATGTGATTTCATATCACTATCATCACAGTGAATGTGCCGAAGTAATTTTGGTACCATGCTATACTGCAGGGAAGTCTATACCAAAAAAGGAATGTTTATCTACTAAACAACTACTTGTAGATGGGTTACCCTGTTTAACCATTAAAACAAGCTAACAACTCAAGTATATTAGTCACCAGATATTTTTCTTATTATAGATATTGGTGGAACAGGCTTAGCTGTTTTTAACGATTGATGTTTTGTATTTTTGTATAATTTTTTGTTAGTTTTGGTACTTTTACGTTATAAATATTGTGTGCATAGGACTAGGTGTTCAGTGTTTGTAGTATACTCTTGACACAGTCCTATTTTGGACTTTTTATTCTTATTAAAAGTTAAGTCTTATTACAGATATTGTTTCATTCATACAGTATTCCATCTTATTTATTAGTTGCTGCATCCTCCTCTTTCGCTTTTTGTTCAAAGGAAAATCCTGCACCTGCAGGAGCGGAGGATCTATGTATGAAACCTTTATCAAGAGGGTCTTGGACACACTCCTCTATGAGTCTACATTCATGGCGGGGAAAAGGGTATATCTGACCTCTCGTGGCATGGTACTAGGTGGGAGGTCCATAGAACTGTCGTACGGCCTGTGTGGTGGCAATGGCTTATCATTGGTTTTATTCTACACCACTTTGGCATACTGTTAACATACTGTGATCAATGGTTCAGTAGTAGGTATGTTGATACTACCTATATGTTTAATAGAGAAGTATCGATCTTTGCAACATTTTCCCCAATCACATATTTCACCCTTAACACAATCCAATACACGATCATGCTGTACCAATCAAGGTAAAACCAAGAATGACAGTGCATGAAGGGGAAGAAATGACTTGAACAATTCATCTTTATATTATACTCAAATAGACAAAGATAAGGGAAAGGTCTCATGGGTTATAATGGGCATCTGAAGAGGTCTGCCATCTATGGCCTCAACGGCCAAAGGTGTGAATCTCTTCTTTGGAGGGATAAGAAGGTCATTAACAAACTTCTTATCTATGAAGTTCTCAGTTGCTCCTGAATCAATAAGAGCATTACTTGATATGGCATAATTACCCCGATATGCAATAACTGAGAGAAGGCTGAACTTAATAGACACATGTTTCTTTTTAGCCTATGTAACTATGTAATCTGTTACAAGGCATGGTAAAGGACCATAAGGCCGGTCCTCTAACAGTGCTTACGTGCAGGAGTTTTCTGGGCATATTGCGCAGTTTAAGCGTAAATGTCCCTTTTTACCGCACCATAAACATAACCCCTCAGTCCTATAATGCTGTTTCTCAGCTTCCGATAACTTAATTACTCCCAACTGCATAGACTCGGACTCGGTAGCAACTGCAGGAGCAGATGGAGCCATATGAAAATCCTGAGAAAGAGAAGAATGTGGTGTTCTAGTTTTGGTTTTTGCTCTCTCCTTGAGTTGGTTGTCTACGTGCAACACATAGGTATTGAAATCTTCCAATTGCTCAGGTAGGTCTCTAGCTGCTATTTCTTTAAGGTGTGATTCAGAGAGTCAGTGAAAGAAGAAACAAAAAATCTATTGGTCCAATCCACGTCAGCAGCAAACGTCCAAAATTCTATAGCGCAATCT